GAAATCCGCGTATAATCGAACGAAGCACTGAATTTTCTACGAGACTACAATCGCGCAGTATAAGCGTCGTTCAACGAGGCACTCGTTCGGTAGGCTCGTAAACACTGACTGAGGACATATCGTCCTGCCCGATTTCTGCACGCTACTTGCGCGCAGTTGTTCCAGGAAGAGACCCCAGGCTTGCCTTATAATATCGCGTGCGACTCGAGATAGTTTTTCTGCCACCAAACATAATAATAACGGGCCAGGGTCGTCGTGTGTGTCCTTTCGAGAGTGAAACTATCGCGAGTTGCTCTCGAGAGTATTTCTCGCGAGTTGCTCTCGAGAGTATTTCTCGCGAGTGGACACTAAGTCTGAGAGTGACTCTCTGAGAGTTGTGTCGCGGCTTGTTCTCAAATGGATACAAAATTATATTACTGTCGGACAGTTGCTTTGCAAACGCGAAGCAGTTGGACACTAAGTCTGAGAGTGACTCTCTGAGAGTTGTGTCGCGGCATGTTCTCAAATGGATACAAAATTATATTACTGTCGGACAGTTGCTTTGCAAACGCGAAGCAGTTTCGTAATCTCGGGAGAACTCTCGCGTGAGTAAAAAATGTGAAGATAGAAAATTGTTCGTGAAATGAAATCACCGACTTAGTCACTCTTTGCGAAGAAGAATCAGTGTGTGGAACACGAAAGGTGCAGAAAATCGTAGCAGAGGAAAAAAATATCGCAACAGCGTAACATACATCGTTTAAGGAGTCAGGTATGCTAATTGTGTAGAATTGATTCGAAACGAACGTCGAAATTTGACAAGAAAATAAAATCGAAACCGCGTTGCTCGTGGGAGCGCTGTATATTACTCAGTGTCTGTCTTTCCGCGTTCGGAGAAAAGCTTATTAACACGTATTAATTAACGTCGAGCGGCAGATTGAAATATCGAAACACAACCCTCGCAACACAAGGCGAAACGGCGGCGGCTAGCCGACGTCGGTGAAAGTGAACTCTGCTTTGCATATCGCTTTTGCATGCTGATTTTATCGGGGCTTAAATAAAAATAACAGGAACGCGCGACGCTGATAATAAGCGATAAAGGTGTTGGGTTGAAAATCAATCGAGATATTAATATTTGCCGAAAACAGCGACACTATCGAGTGTGTTTCATCGGCATCTCCACAGGTGGTTCTCCAGCTGTTCCTCCATTGTTTCTTAGAAGTAAAAATTAACAAACTCTCTCAATCGTAAGCAAATTAAATTCGAGCAAAATTTATCCTCGTTCCGAAATATTTCCACGATCGATTTTCAATTGAAAAGTATCAACAATAGCATCGCGTAAACCCTTCGAATGAAAATACATCCTGAACGACAGAGAAACATTTTGAAAAGTAGCTAAAATGGAAATTCAAAGAATAAATTCATATTTCTATTAAAATTATTCACAGAACAACCTGACGAATAGTAAACCCAATAACTTTCCATACGAATTAAACAGAAAAACTTCTCCAAGATAAGATATCGTATTTAAATCGTGTCGTCGAATCTAACGATAACCGAAACCACTCGAATTCAAGTATCATCCCGTAATCATCCGGTACACGAACATTACTCCAGATTTGCAAATTCAACGGCGTACCTTTTCTTCCACCTGATCTCGCCCGTAAATCTAAGAGATTCGACTCTCCCGACACGCGGCGAACACAATTATTCACGCAACGAGAAAGGAAACGCGCCGGCAAGCGGCCAAAATAAAACGTCGGGATCCTGTTTTCCCGGGTGTCTGTCCGACTCTCTTCAGCTCGTATGATGTAATCGCGAGCCGGCGCACACCGATCAATTCCATTAAACAGTGCATTAATATTCATTAGCCGCTCATCTGCTGAAACGTCACTCTAATGCACTAATTATCGTGAATCAGTAAAAATGGAATATTAAACAGGACCACGTTAACCACGTGTGTATCTACCGATACGCACAAACACACACATGCGTGTATAGGAGAGATTGAGAGGACTTCCTGCGAGACATACAACAGGCTACGTGGTAGCATCGTGTCTAAAGAGAGAACGAGAGATTTGCGTAAGACGTCTAATCCATAAATGACTCGGCCAATCATGCTCCTTGCATAAGGATCCGAGCTAGCCGTGATTGGCAGATTCGCCTCTGCGTTACGTCTACCAAGCCAAACGCTTACGTAAAACTCTTCCGTGCAATCGCGGTGGAACCGTGGCAAGAATCACCGCTGCTGCTCGTTTCGTACACATTTTTACTCCTAGCGGCTCAACCTTTACGGGGCCCCATCAATCCTATCCGTGATAACGTCGTCGCGCGTTCTACTCTATAGAGAGAGAGAGAGAGAGAGCTCTGTTACCACGGTACAGTCGATCAAAAACACATCGGTAGAATTTCGAGAGTGCCTGTGGGACCTTTAACTTCGAAATCGTATCTTCGATCGTACGATCGTAGATTAGACGGCCACAGTTCTATCTATAGAAATTTCTACCTTGCAATCGGTACCTGGATTGTTTGCCTATTTCGGCTACGGAGTTACGACTTCACGCTCGCACACCGGACAACTCTGCTCAATTCACAATTCATCGGGTACAAGAAAGTAGCTGTGATCTTGCCGATCGCAGATAAAGTCCGTGTCGTTGGAAGTTTTTACCTATTACGTTGCTCGACGAGCTATTTTTTCCCCGCTTTCGACTGTGAAACTTGGTCGCCACTTCGCACCCTGTATCGCGGCTCGATCCTTTCGGTGATTTCCTTGGGAATGGACCAGATCGGGAATAAGGTTCGGTGTCTGTTTGCAACCGAATTCGAGAATTTCCACTCGTCGGCGGAGGAAAAAGGGGAACGTGAGAAGCGAGAACGGAGGAAAAGATGGTCAGAGTGGATTTCACCTCGGACGACTCAATCGCGGGGAGCAGAGCGTACAGGATCGGTTTGTAAACAGGAGTTTATCAACGAGCGGAGGAAATGAACGGCTTACGGGGGTCTAAACGCCGCCTTCGAACGTCCCTCCGCGAGAAAGACAGAGAGAGAGAGAGAGAGCGAGCGCTGTTCCGAGAAAGCTGAGGAATCTGCGCGAAGGGGGCCGGAGCACACGACGAGTGGACAAATTACAGGGTGCACGAAATAATGAGGCTCCCGTTCTAGGATGTATACCAGAAATCGGGCCATCTCGCGGCTATAAATCACACGGAACACGGCCGAGAGCCGCTTCGTAAAACGGCCAATTGACGAGTTTCACAGCCTGGCTTGGAGCGTGGCACGAGGCACCGCCTCGTCCAACAGTCTTGCGTTTCTTCCTTCGTCTCTTCCTTCTTAATGCGTACACCTTTCTCCGTGTACCCACGCGCAAACTCATTTCTCCCCGATTTCAATTAACATTCGCGATTTTCACGGAAGAATTCGTACGAATAATTTGGAATTCGAGTGGAAAGTAGAAATCGAGAGATAGAGGAATGTTGATTGCCCCGTCAGAAGCTTCGCGACG